CGTTTGGGAATCACTTTTTTGAAGTTTAAATAATATTAAAATTAGATACAAAACAATTTTTTTAAATTTATTTCAGACACTTTAATAAATTATAATTATCGTCATGGTTTTATTATTCAATTATATAATGGAGAATTATCATAATTTCTGCTCTGGTGGAATATGTCTGCTGAAATCCCATTCTTGACTATTTCGGCAGTGAATTTAAGGAACATACTATTTGAGCTATCCGACCATAATGTTAAAATTAATACTATCGCAGTATTATCTTACCATAATTCTTAATCTAACAACTTTTTAATTTCTTACCTCGAGAACCATTTTTTAAAATAGGTTAAGTCTTCATTTTTCTTTAATTATTTATTTGAAGATATCTAAGATCAGGATTTGGGTTTAGGTAAGACTGTATTCTCTTTGAATTCGTTGATTTCTTATTCCGACTTTTGGGGTACATTTATTTTATTTTATTTAAAATCATCAACAAAGAGGATATCATCAAAACATGTTAAGCATATTACAATAGATTATCCATTTAGTAACTGAACATGTAGGCAATGTTCATACATTAGAGCATACTGGAGCTTCACAGGCGGCACATTTTTTAAACTTATCTATTGGAAAGTCACCTACTGCACATAATAAGCATTTATTTTTATTTTTTTTTGTTGTATTTAAGTTGGTAGAAATACTTTCAATATAATTATCAACTACCTTTTCATAATTATCTTTTACCGACATTCTCTTTTTGTAAATAGAATATTCTAAACGTTCAGTATCTAATCATTCTACAATGGAATCTCTATCCGTCTTAATCGGTGTAGTAACTCTATTTAAATCATATTTTTCGTAACGTGGTGAATTCTCATCAGTATGACTATCATTAAAATATGTTGGAGGACTTATTTTTGTGTGACTTTCTTCATATGGTGGTGAATTTTTTACACCGGAATCTGCATAATAATCTTCTTTATTAGTGTCAATCGCTTCATAAAGTGGTGAACTGTCTTGAGTTGAACTGACTTTGGCTATTAATATGCATTGCCGAGTCTTTTAATAAATTACGACTTGACTTTAAAAGTGACATGCCACGGAGTGAAGATATATGATGTTCTATAAAAACCATTCAATACCCGTGGGTGGTGAAATATTTTTTAATGTAAAATTTTTATAAGCTTGATTTGACGGCTGCAGAACTCGCCTTTTCATCTCCATAACCAAAAATAGGTACCATTATAGCCGACCATAAAGACAATCAAATTAAAATACTTTTTTATTTTATCATAGGCAATAATTATGAAAGTAAATTTCCAAACGATCCATCAAATATACCAGATAATGTTTCCCATAATTTACTTCATTATTTTATGGAAATGGGACCATGTCAACCTTGCCCTTTTGATCTGCTCAATAACATATATCCAAAATCTTTGGATTAAAGTGGTTTTTCTAGATCATTTTCATCAATCATACTTTCACAAATCACTATCAGGTGGAAAATTAGTTAAAACAATCTGGTTATCATACTCACCAATCTTGGATAAAATTTACTGTACTACATGTAAATTGTTCGGTTTATCGAAAATAAAAAAAATAAAATTACTTTATCCTAAAGACATAAGTTACTTTTTTATACGGTAAGTATTAACTGTCCCCAGATGAAAATTTAAGAATAAAATAAAAGAAACTTGAACTCTTTATTCACTTTTTTTGGTATACGAGTATAATCTACATTATTATTATACAATATGTAATAACCAATTATGTATATAAATATAATTTTAACTTATCTCGATAAATTTATTCATTCAGGTCGATTTGATAAAAACAAGACTGCGATCCACAATGCAACAGGAAAGGTTAGAAAGCCTGATGTTGATAAGCTGCGAGAGAGATATTTCCATTGACACCAATGAAGTTCTAAATATTTTTGGAAAATCATCTGAGTTATTAAAGAAAGCTTTATTATTTAAATAAAATAATTTTTATAATCTTATATAATGGTTGATATTTTTTTAAATTAAGATTGTGTCCTATTATGTATTATGCCTTAAAACTTAATAATATTTATAGTTTTTAATGAAAAAAAAAAAATAGCGAAAAACCTGATAGTGGTAGGGTACTAAGGTGGGTGGTCAAATTTTATAGTTTGCCTCAGGTCTGGAAAATGTTCTGCACGCCACTGTTTTTAAGTATTTAACCGAACGATGATCGTACACATTTTGAAAATGAGCTTACAAATGCATACAAATTACGTACTAAATTTTGTTATAACTAAGACAATGAATTCATAGTTGTTCACCTCCGGTGGGGCTGAAATCACTCACCAAAGTACCACCCATTATTTTTGTTTGATAACGATAAAACCAAGACCGTAAACATGTTGAAAATTATTAAAGAAATTCATACAAATTACGTACTAAATATTGGTAAAGAAAATTTTCAAAAACTCAAAATGGGTGGGGCCGGGTAAATACACGTTTAAAAAGGCGTGTATTATAAAAAAATCGCATGACGTTGGTATTTAGGTACCTAATTAGAGAGCTAATGATAACTTTTAATTGAGTTAAGTTGATGGAAAATATTTAAAAAAGTTTAAAGTTAATAGGTATCCTAATTTTTTTTAGCTCAGGTAAGTGAAAAGTTATATATTTTATACAAACGTATAAAACCTACTCACTCGCTTATACACTCTTGCACACCTTCTATGCAGGAGACTGGCTTTCCCGATTTTTTTTATTTAACCAATTTCATAATTATTTAGTTAGTTTGATTTTAAAATTGTTTACTATTAGTAATATAATAAACAACACGAATCTATGAACCTACCTACCTATTATAATTATTAAATATTTATCTTAATAGGTATCAAGAGATTTTAACATTTATGCATTATGCTTATCGTTTCATCCATTTATTCATTGTAGGTATTATTGTCCATCAGAAATGTTTTATTAAGTATTATTCTAAGGAATAACTTATAATTTAGAAAACTGGGCACCTACAACAGAGCCAGATAATGCACTTTTTTTTTTAACTTATCAATGATTTCTTCAGTGTCAGTACAAATTTAAATTTTAAATTTTTTTCTTTACTGCCATTAGCATAAATCTTCTAACATACAGTACAAAAAAGTGATTCCCAATTATATAAAAGCCAGAAAAGTTATATTTTATTTACTTCACAAAAAAACTTTTTTTGAGACAAATTGATTTTGTATGTCTGGTGAGTGAGAGTGGAATTCAAAAAAGATATCCAAAACAAGGGTACAAATTTTTAAACATTGATAAATCAAATTCCTTTCCGCCTAATTTTTTCTATAGTTTCAATAAATAAAATATTGTGTTCAAAATCACAAGCAATTTTAATATACAATGTATTACAACGGATGTTTTTGTGGATGTTATTATTACTATTTTTTTGTTAATTTATAATTCCTACTTAAAATAAAATCATAGAAGATTATAGACATATAAGTAATATAAAAAACATAAAATACTCACAAGCAATGGTTAGATTATTTAATACTACATTTCACACCACAACCATCCTCATATGGATAAAATAGGATAATACAACAATAATTTATACAAATACAAAAAAAGGATCTCATTACTCACTTAATTTAAACATTATGATGTTACAAAAGTTATTAAATACAGACATTGATTTAAAACTATACAAGCACTGATAATAGTAAACAATACACATTGGCATGCCAAACACTAAATTATTTCTTTAAACATCACAAACATTAAATTAAATAATTTTTAATTGGTAATTACACACATTAATGGTTTTTATATGAACACAAATTGTGTTACACAATGTGCATACCTTTACAAATAATGTAATACCATTAACACCCATTTCACAATTAGGAGGCTTATTGTCATCAGTGAATAATATATCATGCTGAGTCACTGCTTCATTGACTTATTCTTGTTCCTGACCAAAGCATAAAGCGAACTAACCTGTTCAGTAATATTATCGGTTAAGAGAAATATAATACAATTTATACCTTTAATAATGTATTATTTGTGTCCCAATTGACACCTTCTTTTTTTTTATTCACTACTTAAGTAAATCAATTTTGAATATTATGCTTCATGGTGTAGTTTTAGTCTTTTCTCCCTAGTTTTTTCTGCTCCTCATTCAGTTATTTTTTGGTTCATTAATGTTTAACTTGAGATGACACCATGGCAGTTAATAAATGACTTACAATAACCAAAAAACAGTACCTAAAAATCACTATTTTATATAAAAGTAAAATCTAAAATCACTATTATCCTATGATCAAAGAGGATATATTGAGGTCTGAGTTGTAAACACTCCCTATCTTGTATTGTTATGATAGTGGGCCGTGAAAAGTACACCGCTTGTAAAGGCTGATTTACACGATGCCAGTTGTTGGCATACCAGCTGGCATGCTAGCTGGAAGGTCACTGGCGTCTGCCAACTGGAATTGACAACCGACTGGCGCCCATCGTTTACACAACGCTAGTTACTGGCATACACTTATAGCTACTAGTAGTGTTTTATCAATTCAAGTACTGAGTTGTAGTGTACACGTTATCACAGTCTTGTATAAAATATAAACATTTCCTTATAATATTTTAATATAGTTATGGCAGAAACAACATACAGCGATGATTTAAAAAAGGCAGTGTGTTCTATTACTACAGTATTGTGTGACGAACTGTTGGAGATATGTGAGGAAGAATCAAAGAAGAGAAAAAGAAAAGTTTGGGTTAGAAATTGGATGGATAAAAAGAAATGCGGTGCATCTGAAACAATTATTAGAGAACTTAGAGACAATGATCCACTCGAATTTAAGTCTGTTATCAGGCTTACGCCCGAACAGTTTGATGAGTTGTTGCTTAAGATTAGTCCGATAATAAGCCGTGCTGACACTTTTATGCGCCCAGCTTTACCTGCCAGGCTAAAGTTAGAATTAACCCTAGCGTTCTTGGCATCAGGAACAAACTCAAGAATACTGTCAGTATTGTTCCGCGTTTCCAAAGCATCAATTTCAAATATGATACCTGAAGTATGTGACGCTATCTATTCAGTTTTGAATGATTACATAAAAGTAAGTATTTATTTACAAAAAAACAATATACTTTTATTTTATAATTATTAACAAAAAAAACAATATACTTTTATTTTATAATTATTAACAAAAAAAACAATATACTTTTATTTTATAATTATTAACAAAAAAAACAATATACTTTTAGTTTAAGGGCATGTGGTACTTTTAAAAAACCATGTATTATCCTGATTAGGAAAATTAATTTATCGTGCTGAAATTTCGTGAGGAATTAGATAATATTATACATTCATAATTTATTCAACATAATAAAAAAAATATGTTTAATTAAAATATTGTATATCAGATCCAAATAAATCACTATTTATATCAGAGTTAACTATAGCAGAATGTATGATATCTGCCGTTGTAGATGCAACACTACTAGGGCGGCTACTACTTTCTTCACTTGTTATTGTTTGTGGTGTATATGTATTGAATTGAAAATTAGATGAAACATTACTTGGGCGGCTATATGAAGTCGATGGTGATACCCCTCTCATATTTTTTAAACGGTAATTCATCAAAACTTTTTGTAGGTCAAAGTTTGCTAATACCCTATCGTATGATGGTAACTCCCGCAGTTGAATCGCAATGTGCTTCCCCATTATATCACACTCATCATCCTGAATAGCTGTTTTTGTAGTATTCATTGTTTCATTTAAATTTTTTAATTCATGGACGGCATCGGTTATGGCATCCAACCTTCGTTTTTGACCTTTGTTTTTTGAAAGTGGGGGCATATTTAAACTCGACTTATCACGTACAGGGGTACTTTTTAACTGTTCTTTTGCATTAGTCGAATCGTCTTCAGGGACATCTTCATCATCTTGTTCATGAATAGTGTCTTGGGTCAAAGTGTCTTGGGTTATGGTTCCCTAAAACGTTAAATATTTCAGATTGTTACAAGTTATTACAGTTTCTACTGTTTTTCAGGTGCCAAATTTAAAGGAATGGGAAGAAATTCAATTTGGTTTTAATGAAAAGTGGAACTTCCCTGGATGTTGCGGAGCCATAGACGGAAAACATGTAGTAATTAAAGCACCCCCAAGTGCAGGGAGTGAATACTATAACTACAAAGGTACAAACAGTATTGTACTTCTTGGTGTAGTCGACCACAACTATTGTTTCAGATACATTGATGTCGGATCTTATGGGCGAAATGCTGATGGTGGTGTTTTCCAGTACTGTGATTTATATCCTTTACTAGAAAATGATTCGTTACTACCAAAAGCAGGAGTACTGGTGGGAGATGATGCCTTTCCCTTAAAAACTTACCTTATGAAACCCTATTCAAAGGTAAATCTGACTAAAGAAGAAAAAATATATAACTACAGAACCAGTAGAGCACGAAGAATTGTGGAAAACGGTTTTGGTATATTGGCCAGCCGGTTTCGTATTTTTCAACAACCTATGGCAGTAAAAGTTCCAACAACTATAAAAATAGTAAAAGCTACATGTGCCATACATAACTGGTTACGCTTAACTTCACCTACCACTTACACACCACCAAGCTGTTATGACTACGAAGACATTGTCAATGCTACAATAATACAAGGGGAGTGGAGATCTGAATTGTCTCAGCTGCCAAGTATGTTACGGACACGAATTAACAACAGACCAAAGAAAATAGCACAACAAGTGAGAGACAGATACAAGGATTATTTTAATGGAGAGTGGTCAGTGGAATGGCAAGACAGAATGATTAAATAATTATTAGAATGATTACGTAATTAATTATCAATCACTTTTTTTTATATAAATATACACATTGACATTGATATTACTTATCAATCAGTTTTTTTTTAATAAACGAATGAATAATGCCTAATTAATAAATTATGATTTTACTTACAAAATTACTGTACGTCTGCTTTTCTTTGACAGTTGCTGTTTTCATTATATGATTCGTATCATCGAACCACGGCAATAAAGACTTGTACACAAGATTAGTGCCTGAATGTGGTTTCTTCACTCCAACGGTTAGCCATTTTACTTTTATTTCGAAATTACAGTTTCACACACGTGTACGATGACTACGATGTACTGTTATCATTGACAAACAAAATATTATTATATCACTGTCATAATCCAGTAGTTGGCGCGTGACTGTTGTTGTTTACACGATGCCAGTTAGCTGTTGTCGTTGTGGCGATGTAGTGGAGGGGGGAAGCTGTCGCGCCAGCAAAACAAAATAATTTGTTTTACTGGCAATGCCATCTGCTGGAACGCCAGTGCCCACTGGCTTTCTCCAATTGCTGGCAGATTATATTTAGACGTTGCCAGCGGCTGGCATTCACTAACTGGCGTCTTCGACTGGTACGCCGACTGGCATCGTGTAAATCAGCCTTAACTGCCACCGGGAGCGCTGACTACCCAATGAGGGCTCAAACATATTCAAGTTTGTACGGCACATTATGCAATTTAGCATTTATCCTAATTACAAATTGGTAAACTTAGTAATTAGTACTCATTACAAAGATTATGCATTTCATGGTCTAATAATTAATATTTTTAATTTTAATTAGTGTAACTTAAAACGAATAAAATGTGTATAGTATGATAATTTTAATTCATACATTTTAATACCTAGTTTGGAAAACATTTACCAGTGGGTAGGCAGTAGTTTTTATTTTATATTCATTTTGATATTTTTCTTAATCTCTTCATAAAGAAAAATATTTCTTGTATGCCATTTTATCATTATGCCTTTTGTATGCAAACATCATTCTAGTGCTCAAATAGAAATTAATTACTTATATATATATATATAGAAAAATGGAATACTAGAGGCAGTTTTATTGTCTGCTGTTTATTTATTATATTTTGTTTGGGTAACCCAGAGTTACACTTACACCTAGGCACAAAACACTTAAGAGGCATACTACTATACTAGATGGGTAAAAAATTCAATTTCAAACCACGTTTATACAAAAAGAGTAAGTTGTGTAGGTCCTAAATGAATAACAATATACCTATTGCAAAATAGTACACTAAGATAATATGATGTAAACAGGTACTGTTATTATACACATAAATATGATAAAAATGTTCATCGAGTAGTAATATGATATTTTCAATAATGCCATTCTTAGAATGACTACAATTTGTTTCTAAGAAATTAAACCTATTATGACATGTAGAAGTATCAAATTATTCAAATTAGGGGAATAATACATTTACAATTAGGTACTTTAATTAATATATTTTAATATGTCAATGGTTGCGATAAATTTATAAATTGAAATTCTTATTTATAACACAAATAGGTAAGCAGCATGTCTATATCTACTCCACAGATCAATATTCCAAAAAAATTTGGATGATTATCAATAATTGTACTATTGAAGATAGAATTATGTTAATCAAAATCCATTTAAGTTATTCATTGTTTGAATTTAATTGATGTTTTATATTTTTATGACCAACTTGCAAGCATAGCGCATCGTATTTTCGTTTACAAATATGAACATTATGAGTCCCCATCGGGTAATAAGCTCTCCCGGTGACATTCACAACTGGTGTACATTTTTGAATCAATTTATAATGACAGTGTTTACACCTCTATATATACACCTTGAGTACGATCATTGATAGTATGATTATTGATTATAAAAGAGGCCATAACATGATAACCTAATTTTTTCCTTCATCATAACTCGATTCGTGACTGTTACGTTGATATAATATTTTCGAGACAAGAGCACTTTCGCGACACCTAAGACTCCAAAGAAGTTCGAACCTTCAATATGCTTGATGTAATGACGTCGGCGAAGTGTTGCGATAAAAATGAAATTTGACGAACCTCCCGATAGACGATTTTTTCTGCCTTCAAAGTAAACATATATGTGAGTGGTTTGTGATCGACTGTGGCTAGTGACCTTCCTTCGACAAGATGGATAAAATGAGGCTTGCCCAGATACGCGATGAGTAGCTCGCGATCGTACGTGCTGTACTTTTGTTCAGTGGCCGAAAGTTTATTCGAGAAAGTGGCTGCCATCTGTCGTCGACTTGCTGCCCCAGAACGGCTCCCGCAGCGACGTTAAATGCGTCGGTGCTGAGACGTAGTGGCGAGTCGGCTCTTATATTCGTGAGTTGCGCGGTGTCGGCGAGAGTTTGACGTCAGATGTCAAAATTCGCTCGATTCTCATCTGACCAGCTAAGCGAACTATCCTGCTTTTTAATCACGGAGTGAGGTCTTACAGTGGTGCTTGCGTTTGGGTGGCGTTCGGAATGAACCTGTGGTAAAAGTTCAGCGTCCCGAGAAAGCGTTGTGGCTGTTTTTCGTTGCCGGTAGCGGCCATTCATGTATTGAGTTTACGCGTTCGGCGTTGGGTGGGTCTTGGTGTCGTTGACGAAGAGTTGGTGACTAGTTGGGTGAGCGGTGGGGTGCTCGGTGTACACAGCCGCTGACTCAATTTTTTTGCGTGTGGCCAAGAAAGTACACGGCTCGCGGCAATGCCGTACGTTTTCGGCGTAACGCTGATGTTAATAACAACATCCCGCCGTCGCTTGTGAAGGTGCTAAGGGACGTGGTGTTTTGTAACGGCGTTTTTTTTTGGTGTAGCTGTCTTGGCCGTCGGTAGGTACCCCATGTGCGCGTCGACGGCAGCTGCTTCCCACGGGGAACTGGCTGCCCACACTTAATCATCGCGTTCAGCGAACTCGTTGAGCGGTGCCTTGATCCCGGCGATGACGGTCTTAACCGCCGTTAGCAATTTGATGTACCAGAACGCCTCTAGAGCACTGTCGCTCATGTCTTCTGGAAAAATCGCGCGCATATCACTCAACAATCACGACGGTGAAAGATCGGTGATGTCGCCGGGTTGAGCCATTGCAACCAATATTGTCTGTACGTCGTAATCGGACGCTACTTGATTGCCTCGTATGACGCATCTAGTCCGAGAAGATCTGCTATTTACTGAACTTTATAATAATTATTGGGCTTGCATATTTTGTTGATCCACGTTTGAAGTTAGAACAATTAATGAATTCAATTGCTGATGGGACATATTTTAATAAGGAAGTACAAATGAAAGGGACGTTACACTCTGTATTTATCAATGTAACATCAGTAACACCTTGATCTTCTAAGAACAATTCTTTAAGAATATTTAGTCTTTCTTTGTATGTATTAAGACGTGGGGTCAAATTGTTGCAAAAACGTAAAATTATATTTGTTTGTTCTTCTACAAACTTTTTGTACGAAATGCTGTCTATGTACGCTATAGTTATAATAAAAGCGACTGAATCAAACGGACATGTGTTACACTTATTAAATATCGTTTTTTATTCATTCGTTAAAGTGTCTTTAAATTACCATTTAATAATAAAGTTTCGTGCTTAGACCTTATGCTTCAATCACATAGAACTCGTTCAATTTCAGTTGTTGGTTCCAAATACTTTGTGGGTCTGCTTTAAATTTTTTTTTTTTTTTTATTAAGAAAAATACAATCTATGCGCATAGTCTGTACAATAAGTCATTAAGATAACAATTAGAAATGGACATAACCTGTTGTAAATTTACAGTTTCTTTACTGTTTTTAAATTGTAGACTTTTTAATAACACCATGTATGTGTTTATCAGTTATTTCATTGGTTTTATTTGCATGCATAATCTGGGAATTGAAAATTGTATCTATGAATGTATTTATCTTTATTATCGTATGAAACTGAAGACGAACTTAAATTATCAAAATGTTTTTTTGCTATTCCTATGTTTGCTACAGACTTAATTTGTGTATTAGTATTAGTATTTTTGGGAATAGGGCATAGTTTTTGTTTTTCGTTATTCCCTTTCAATGTTACACTTGTAATTGGTTCCTCACCTTTACCATGCCAATTTTCTACATCGTCATCAGATAATGATAATGAATCATTAGACATACAATCATTTTCAACTGACGATTTAGAATATGTTGGATTCTTATTAATAGCGTTGTTTCTTAGTTGAAAACTGCGAAATAGTTTCGAGTTACAATCAATACTTTGAATATGATGAAGTATTAAACAGTCATTGGGTGGGTAACATGTCTTAAAATTAGATTTTTTAGTCCATTAAAATCGCTTTCATCTGGAGCTAAGGTAGCAATTTTGAATGGTGAATTAAATATTGTCTGCATAACTGCAGTTCACAAAAGAAAATGCTTACGAACACGCTTAACATCTTTTGCTAATTCTCGCGATTCTCATTCTCATCTATCCAACCACCTGTTTCGTTTAATATTACTGTCATAAAAGCAGTTAATATATGTTTAAAAGTGTCAAGGTTAGTTGAAGTCAATAGTAGGTAGTCTAATACAACGAACAAAAAATTCTTTTAGACACTTTTTCTTTAATACACTCAAATATGAGAGACGTCGATTCGGATAAAATATGTGTAATAACGCAAAAATAGAATAAACAAAAATTAAGCTCCTGCCTATATTAATATTAAAATCTGATATCAACTTAAAGTATCTGTATGATCCTCTCATTTATAAGTGCTTGGAGAATAATACCAGATGCAAGTATTACAATTACGTTATTACCTTCTTCCGGGTGTTCGGAGGGCTCTCCAGGTCATGTATTCGAGAATTCAATCAAATACACTGTACAATATAAATGTATAGGTACCTGCAAATGATGTAATATAATGCAGCCAGTAATAATATATTTTATATTAAATGACTTACCTGACTCGCAGCTGTCTCTCGAGTTATGCTGTAGAAGTT